GGAGAAGATAATCTGCTCTGCTCTTAAAAAAGATGCATTGGGATTGGCATTTAAAGACATTCTTAACTCTATTGGAGTTAGACAACACGTTGTCGTAATCATACTCTAGATCTAATATTATCACATGGAATCAATGTTGATGCTGTTGAAATTCTCCAGCAGAGCGATGGCATCTCAGATCATTATCTAGTCTCGAGTAAACTTCATTTAGCCAAGGCTGCAAAGCCGACTCAATGTTACAAATATGTTAGACCTATCACTTCTGCCACTAAAGATTGCTTTATAAATAATCTTCCTGATCAGTTTCATCATCTCAGCATCCCAGATATAGCGTAGAAGAACTCGATATTGTAACAGAAACTTTTAACTCTCTTTTCCAGCACTTTAGACACAGTTGCTCCTTTGCGCTTAATTAAGATTAAAGAAAATAGTCCAACACCATGGTACAATGAGCACACTCAGGCCCTTAAGAGAGCAGCCAGAAAAATGTAGCACAATTGGAAGAAAACAAAACTAGAGGTATTTCGCATTTCATGGAAAGAGAGCACGATTGCATACAGAGAGGCCTTAAAAACGGCTAGATCTGCTTATTTTTCAACCCTATTAGAAGAAAATAAACAAAACCGTAGGTATTTATTTGAAACGGTGGCTAAACTAACGAAAAATAAAGCTACAAGCCCAGAAGTTTCCGCAGCACAGCAGTAATTACTTTATGAACTTCTTTACTTACGAAATTCATAATATCAGGGAGAAAATTATAACTATGCAACCGTCTACTACAGTATTGCATCAGGCAGTGCATTGTAGTCTCCCTGACGAAAAAATTGATTCATTCATTGCTATGAGGATGAATTTTCTAAACATATACACTTATTATAGACTTCTATAAAACACATTATAGACTTCTATAATTCAATGTTAGGCTAGTTTAGATCAGCCAGCCCAGAACCGGACCAGAACTTCCCATAAATCCTGATGTAGGGGAGCGCGGGGCACAACGTAACGCGGGGCTAGTTGTAACACACTTGTTTTAAATACTTCCACACATGCCAGCATGACGAAACTTGGTGTATTTACTAGTTGCCATTTCAACACTAGAAAAAAATGCACCAAAATTCAGAAATCTTTGTAAGATATCACTGAACATTTAACCATTAGCAAAAGTACATTTCTTACTTAAGTTAATTTTTCATCTCTATTTTTTGTGTTTATTTAAAATTAGACAAATCTGATATTATTTTAATCTTCAATCTGTTGTTTAACAGTTGACATAGTTCTTTAATGCTTCGCTAACTAGCAGAAGACACTAGCAGGGTTTAAACCCCAGTTGTGCAGTTGGGGCATGTTGTAACACTGCGTTACAATGTGCCCCTCTTAGAAATATGCTATTATATTCTATACTTTTATGAATTCTATTGAGAAAACATTAGAAACATGTAAATAAAGACTGAGAGTCAATGTTCAGAAATTATTAATTATTATTTTGTTTTGAACTATGCTGTATAGCGGTGTTTTCCGGTGTGTTTGTTGTCAAACTAAAAAATTAGTTTATTTTTAATTATTAAAAAATGCCATTATTTCATATGAAAAAGTTAATAATTGTATTTTATTAAGAAAATATTTTGGTTTGACTTGTACATTTTTTTGATTAGATTAGATAGCATTTTAAGCTGTCATATGGTGATGTTACAATGTGCCCCTCACATGTTACAATGGTCCCACCTATGGGGCATGTTGTTGTCACATTTCACTTCCATTCTTTCGGGGTAAATTAAGAAAAAAGTATACACTGTATTAATAAAACAAAACCACATAATTGTACTAGACATGTGGGAAATTAATGTGTATGAAAAAATAAATACTCTAAACCCTAAGCAGATTTACACAAACTGAGAAAGTCAAAAAGCGCTACGTTGTGCCCCGCTCTCCCCTACTTGGTGCATCATAAGAAGGATGGCGTCTACGCTAGTATTATCTCTCTGTTTACCCTGTCCCTGAGGTTTACCGCAGTCCGCTGGATCCAAGCCGTATCTAGATCTGATGAAGGACCAGCGCCTGGACACGACAATGCAGTCCTGTGTCAACTAGTCTCTCCCCTGTGAAGGCCTCCCTCCCTTTACCTATGTACAGATAAAACGTTGTCCGGATAATTCCGGTTCGTGTGGCTACGCAGTCACGACAAAAAATTCTGTATTATAAATTTTTAAGGCCAGACAAGTAGTTTGTTGAGGGTTGATTTGTGAAGAAGGACTACACGTCTGCGCACATATTCAAACAAGCATACCTATGGACTGAACACGTGATGCGCATGTGCGTGCCGTCTGCTTTTTCGCGGGTTTGCGTTTTTGAGGTTTGCGCAGAGATAACGGATAATCATTTGCACCTTCAAACCTATTTCAGGGAGTGCGTTCTCGAGACACCAGGCACTGTTTTGTGCGGATTGGCGGCCGGAGCACGTTAAGAGTTTTTTTTATTAGAGCGCTGTCGTGTTAGCAGCCCCTAAGTTAATAACTAATGATCTTCGCAACGGAAGTGAATTAGTCAAAACTATCTTTAGCTGGACAATAACTTTATCCTAATGCTGTTGTAAAGCCTAAACAATCTGTTACGGTAATTTATATTATAACTGTAAAGTTGCTTTGAAACAATCCATAGGCCTACTGTTAAAAGCGCTTTATAAATGAAGGTGACTTGACTTGATAGTGCGTAATAAACCTTATGCCGTCTGTGCCCTTAATATTAATCAAACAACAAAAGAAAAAGAGAAAGCATTCACTGCTCTTTAATAGCTTTAATAAGGGTTAATTATATTTTGTTTATACAAATAAATATATCTGCTTGAAAGAATAAAGAATGAATGCAAGTTGTTATAGAGAATGCATATATCATTCATTGAAAAGAAGACCATGTTCTAGGCTATACTTTAGGAGAAGTGGTTTTATTTCATTTTAAGATATTTAAAAAATATATAATTTTAATTACTGGCAGCTCAGCAGTGATCTGATCAAACTAAAGTCTTACGATAGTTAACAGTTTTGGCACCTTATTGACAAGAATGTATGGACTGCATTTTTCCTTCCCCAATAGATAGCATGTGTACAGTTGTCACAGATTGTGTTTAAATTTGACATGTTGTCCTCAGTCCTTGAGTTTGATCAAAATCATTCTTAGCAGTCAGCACAGTCAGTTATATAATGGAATTTTCTTCAGCAGTACTAAAGCATAATTTTCTTCAATTACCAAGAGCACAGTAGAATGCTTTTTAAATCTGGAGTAGCCTATTTTAATATGATTATGATTTAATAGATTTTGAAAATACAAAGAAATCTTTTCATGTGCTTTTAGCATGCAAATTATAAATTCAATATCAGTGAGTAATACAGTTATTATGTACAGTGCTTGTTAGGCAGAAAAAAAGATACACCATCTGATATTCCCTAAACATACACCTTTAAAATTGGATGTAATATAACATCAAAATTCAAAACTCAGAAACAGAACCGCAGATGTGTATATAATTTTTCTGTTGATATTAAATTCGATTGAATCGCCTTACAATTTATTGCACTGTACACAGAAGGAAGTGGATTTAATATGGCACCACATTCTAATTCTAAAAATGTCTTTGTGGACAGTATTTATGTTTTCTATTAAAGCTGTCTGTCCTGAAATATCGAACTATGATCTAATCCAAAGGGCAGCTCTTCAAACTCAAAACAATAGCTATAAATGTCAGCTGACAAATGGTGCAATTTAATATAATAATGTGATGATGTGGAAGTGACATGCAATTTTGGTAGTGCAAGTTAGTATCATTAAAATTAAACGTGTTCGCATTTTTAATTTACGATATATTAAGGTTGAATTTTGTCTTGACTGTCACCACAATTTCCCACAATGGGATCAACTTAATAATGCACACATATTACGTAATAAGCATGTCTGTGGAGTAATAAAAGCCCTATGTGGTAGCATTTTGCTGAAATTATTAAAAGATGACATGACATGATTTATTACTGTGCAGTGATACACCAGCAGAAACTTCAATGCACTGGAGGATTTGTTCTTGCTTTGCACTACAAGAGAAAAACGGCATTGCACATTTATTTCCGACAACAAAGATACTTCATGAATACATCATATCCAGTGCTGTTACCTAAAACTAAATTAGTTTTAGTTATAAATAAGCTGCCATAAAATAAACATTACATGAAAAACTTAAAACGGAAATTTGAAATGTTGCCTAATATTTTTTTTAAATAAAATTTTGAATTAGAAGTACTAAGATTATTATAACTAAAATAAATATAAATTAAAGCCAAAAAGGCATTTTCTTAAAAAGAGAAGACAAAAGCCTATAACACAATTACTAAAACTTAAATTAAAAAAATAAAAGCTAATTCAAATTTTAATTATATAAACAATTCTTAAATAACACTGATCATATCATGCTAAAAATGGCTTTTTATCTTAGGTAAGAGAAAATATCAGCAAATGTTTCCAGTTACATTATTGTTAAAATAAACTCATCAAAACAGCTTTTGGTGTCAAATTATTTAAGTAAAAGGACTGACCAATAAGGAGGATGCAGTGTTTCAGGGAACACATTTTAAGGTTGTCAATCATGATGAAACACTCATTTATTGTATCATCACATACTATAACAGCTTTGTCTTTTTCTTCCCAAATCCTCTCAACTAGACCTTAACCAAACCTCAGGGGAGAACTTCTGAGTGAATTTAAGAGCAAAGGAATTGATTTAAGAGCCAAGTAGACCTGTATTGAGTCAGAGCCTGAACTAAGAATTAGATCCCTGTTGTTGTGTGTTCATTAATAATAGACTGTATTAGACAGTCTGCAAATAAATCTTTACATATTACACAGCTTAATGCATTCAGGGCTGAAATTTATCATTGCTTAATAAAATCTGCTGTATTTCTTGCGTGCGAATAAACAGCCAAAAGACCACTTCCAGAAAAACAGAAGTACACAAACAAACATATTTGTAAGGCAGAGTAAAGTTTAGTAAAGCAGTCAGAAAAAACAATGACATACGGTAAAATGGAGTGATTAGTTGTGATGTTTCTATTTATAAAAATACAAAAAGTATATAAGAAATCAGGTCAATAGAATACATACACTAAAACGATACTGCTATTCTGTGTTAATGATAACACATCAGATGTTTTGAAATAGTAAAAAAAAGAACAAAAATATGAGAAGAACGAAACAAGAAATAGAAAATATTATAAAAAAAACAAATATAGATACGGCTCTTGAATATTATTTACAAGCTAAAAAGCCAGTGTATAAACATTCTGCAAAATATAGCATTTAATTAAAACACTGGAAATTTGCATGGCATCCCAGTAATCACTGAACTTGGCAGTTGTCGTTTTGGTTCGGAGAAGCGCTGAGGCATTCCTGTTTCTCAGGGGTCTTCTTGAAGCCGCGAGAGCGCCTGCTAGTTTTCTGCACAGGGCTTCGACAGCTGTTTTCCCGTGGACTATTTGCGAGTGGAGATAATAAAGCCGCACTGCTCTGGATGGCCTTAGGAGCCTGGACCTAAAAGGACATGAACAATGTCAGAAGAGAGCAACACGGACCTGTCAAGAATGCCCAGCAGCAATGTTCAAAACAACTCGTACTGTATTTCTCTCTGGGTGAAGTGCCAAGCTGAGGACAAGGGCAAAATGTATAAATATAAGATGTTGCAATCAATCAATCTTCTGTTCTCCCCTAACCCTTGACTTATACCCAGCATGTACTTTCTGGAGAAGAAACAGTGCTGAATAATACTTGAAAATTGGCTGTGCTGCAAGCTGACTAATGGTTTGCTCATCTCGGCTAGCATCTGTTTCATTCAAAGTTTAGTTGTTGGTTTTTCTGTCATGTCATCTATTAATTAGGGTTGTCAATTGTATACTTAATATCTTTAGAGGGAATTAATTACATGATTTATTATTTAAATAAAGTGTATACTGTGTATATATATATATAAAATTAGACAATATAGATAGACAATTAAGGTCACAGTCATAATGACTTGAGACACTAAAGAGACCTGCCCAGTTCAAGGGTCCATAAAAAAGACTGACAGTAAAAAGTGCTAAAAATGTGTCTTTTTTTATGGCAGTACATCATATTTCAAGGCCGTATATGTGCTTTAATGAATTTTACTCCATGGCAGCCAAGGAACCGCACCACATAATGGGCTGATGGTGCAATAGGTGGCTCAGTATTCATTGTCCTAGATGCGAAGTTTAATTGTTCCTAAAAAAAACAAAAAACATTGGCATAGTAAAAAGTAATCAAAATTTGGATTTCGTTATGGTAGTATATTTATATTGTTCCATATAAAATTTTAACAGCCAATTAAAACAAATATACGTACAGTAAAATGTGCTAAAAATGTGTATTTCACAAGGTCAAAACACTCTTTATTATACCACTTTCGAATTTAACGCATCCTTACAGATGGTGGAAAAATGCTGAGTTACTCCATTCAATTCGAAGATCGCTTATTGCTAGCAGAGTCATAGACAAAGGACTTTAGAAAGTGTCGTATTATATAAAGGGGAGGCTCATGCTTCAATAAATGACAAACAAATAAGATTCTGAATTCAGCCTTGTACTAGATGAACTGCTCTAACGGAATCCAAAATGAGCACTTTTGCACGTCGTATTGCACTATTCAGCCCATTTTACGGTGTGGTTTCATGGCCGCCACAGAGGCGTAAAAGCACACATAAGGCCGTGATATTAGAGGTATATTGGCCTAACGAAAGCCAAATTTTGAGCAAATAGATCTTTATTAATTCATACACATCCATACTCTCGTTTTCTTCATAGTAAAATGACAGTGACACACAAGGGAAATAGGTTAGAGTATATAAGAAGTGATTATTTTAATTGTTACATATTGCAATTGCCTCACTATAACTCACAATCTTGCTCTTTCTTTTTTTATCAAAATGAGTGTCAAGTCACATTTCTTTTAACTTAATTTTTTAACTAGCTTAACTTGTACTGAACCCGGATCATTCCTTTAAATTGACACATGGAAGCAGGAATGCAGAACTTTGGCCTCCATAAAAGCTTCACTATATCTTGAATCAGGTATTCAAGTTGGTGAAGGGTATTTCTGGGACATAAGAGTAACTTAACAAAGGGAAGCGGAGACCACATGCTGCATTCTTGAAGAATAAATGGGAAAATCTCCAGGAAATGGTGACCTGGGGTAAGGTGACATGATCAGAGTTACGGAGGGAGTTATAAGCTGACAGGAGAGCTTTAATGCCTCAGAGCACTTAAGGCTTTCCAACTCTGAAATGTCATGCAGAGTTTCATCTGGAAATGCTTTCATGGTCAGTAACTTTAAGAGCGACATAATGAGTTAACTACAGACTGCAGGTACATTTTCTGAGGGTCTATGATGCCCTCCTGTGGTTAAAGACTGAGGAATGCCTACATATTTTCAGCTATACAATGAGAGTTAATTACATATAAACCTCTCAGGTTTGTATTCCCCATTTTTGTTCCTAAAATAACAGAACATTTATCATATCATATCACATATTCAACTATTTTGGTCTACTCTTAAAATTTGGTATAACTGCACTGCTAATACTATTGGCTGCTTTATGACAAATTGCTAGTGTTTTTTTCTTCCAAATGTGTAAGTTGATTTAGATAAATGCAATTACTAAGTGACTATATGTAAATGTAATTAAGTAAAAGTCAATGTATTGTTATTATTTATATAAACGAATCCTAGTTTTCCTCCAATCCAGTATCAACATTTTGCTGACTTTTAACATCGCGTGAAACCATTTTTTTTGCAATCCTGCTTTGATTGATGGCATAAACAGTAGAATTGTAAGAGACAAACAGCCCATCTGAACTGTTAATGAATATCATTTAAGTAGAATTATTAGATCTGGCTATTTACATGTTACAAATTAAAGGTTAATATATATAGCCTATATAGTTTTTAGATTCAAAGATTCAAACAAACTTTCATGGAATCAATACTATCATTATCACCATTTTCCAAGTAAACAGTTTACTTTGAAAGATATAGGTTGTTGTGGTTGCAGGAAATACACACAGGTAGTTCTACTCACTGTGTTTGATTTCCTGCCCTCTGCTGTCTGTTTGGAGATTTGCACGGGATGTTCTGCTAAAACGGAGCTCTGCTGAGCCGCAGTTGTTCGGACGGCCAGACGAGGGCTGCAGCGCTGCACTGCAGTTCTGCGAATGATGAATGGGCTCATCTCTCCAATTGGAATATCTGCAAAACCTGTACAGAAAGAAGTGATGTAGATGTGTTAAAAATAGCAATCAATAACTTCACTTGTTCCTTCAATTGTGAAAGTTTGATTGAGCACAACTCACATATGAATGTGAAGGCTGTGCCATGAGGACGTATAACAAATTGTGATAACCTCTCACCTTTTTGAACAAGTTCAGGCAAACCCTCTGGTCTGTAATCCTCATCGTCTTGTGTGGCTTTAGGTGTGGCAGCCGCAGCTTTCAGTCTCTTGGTGATACTGTGCAGGGCTTCCTGTGCTTTGCTGGGGGTGTCATCCGCTGCTCTCTGTCTCTTTCCTGCTGGCACGCTCTTAGTGTTTTCCACCGGCTTATTGTTCTCCATGTCACTCTTCTCAGACCTCAGGGACCTCCTGCTCTTGGGTGTCTTTGTCTGGGTGCTCATCTGCTTGAGCTGGTTCATGAGGCTTTCATTGGTCTCTTCCAGCTTGTGTACTTTGACCATGAGGCTGCAGTATCGGTCCATGTTGTCGTCCGCCTCAAGGCTCTTTTCCTCCAGGGCTTCCTTTAGCTCCTGTAGTTCTTCCTGCAGGCCGTCACTGCTGCCATCACCTGTTAACATGACAGATGCTGTAATTTTTATTATTTCTTTTTACAAAAAGGTGAATATCTGTACATCTATCTGATATGCTTTAAATTGATATACTGTGTCCAAAAGTCTGAAATCACCAGTAAATATGCTTGTACTTTGCATTTTTTTTATTTAAAAAACATGAAAGTAGTTTTGTATTAATATAATATTAGCATATATTACATTAAACATATATTATGTTTAATGTAATATATGCTAATGTTATATTAATACAAAATATAGCCATACTGCGCCAGAACGCCCACCACACACCAGCTTACTGGTGGAGAGGAGACAGTGATGAAGCCAATCAGTATATACCTTGTTTCTGTGAGGCCTGCAGTGCTGCTATCTGTTGTGCCTGCTGCTGAAGTTCTTCCTGAAGTGCCAGCTTCTCACGTTCCAGCTGTTTGCATGACTTCATCCACAAATTGATCTTACTCATAGCACTGTCCTTCTCTTTGGACAAGCGCACAACCTTGGAGTCCAACTCTGCCTACAGGGACCAAGACCAATAAATATAATATAGAATGAAAGTTGTGTCTAAAATAATGAAGAATGAACAGAAAAACAACAAAAACAATACCTTTTCATTTTCACAATATACCAATTTATTTTGTAACTCCTTTAAGGCAGACTCCACATCTGAATTTTGAGACTTGAAGCTATTGAGGTCAGAGGTCATTTCTTCCTTCAGTTTATTAATCTCCATCTCATGCTGTAGAACACAACAAAACATTTTTTTTTTACTGAACTTGATCAAAATATATATTAAAAACAGTATTATTGTGAAATATTACAATTTAAAATAAAAAATATTTTAAAATTAAAATATAAAACAGTTGAGTAAAATTCAGCTTTGGCATCACAGGAATAAATTTCATTTTATAATTTATAAAAATAAATAAATTTATAAAAATAAAATTTGATTTGATGATTTGGTGCTCAAGAAACATTTCTAATTATAACAGCTGAAAATAGTACTTAATATTTTTTTGCAAAAACCATGATAATTTTTTTTCAGGATTCTTTGATAAATACGAAGTACATAATTTATTTAAAATATAACTTTTTTTTGTAATGATGAAAAAGTATTTCGCGTCCTTGACTCCTTGCTGAATGAATGTATAAAAAGAAAAGAAAAGAAAAAAAGGCATTGTGTTATCATAACACTGCCAGAATGCACCGCACTACCTATATAAAAAAACAACACATTGTACATCTACCCACCTGCTGCTGTACATGTTTCAGGTTCTCCTCATGCCTCCTGTTATTTTCCTTCATCTGAACATCATGACTTTCTAGAATATCAGATATATTTTTCTGCAGGCCATCTTTCTCTATCGTCAATGCTTCCATGCCAAGCTGAAAGGTGCAATGAAAATGTAGTGCAAGCAGAGACTGAACATCAATAGCCGCGTTTCCACTGGCCCGCCTAATACCTTGGTCTAAAGCAGGCCAGCTCGGGCTTGAGGAGTGGTTACGAACAGAGGCGGAGTTTATCTGAGCCGGATGATTCTGTCAGCATTAAAGACTTTTAAAATAATTTACCTCAAAACTCACTTTCATGTTTGAATGCCTTCTGTTTGTGATCCGATGTGGATTCTGATCACCGTATAAGGTAGAAATATTTATACGCAATGCAAAAGACTATGCACGCTAACCATTACCACCATAGTAAACATGGTAAATATGACCGCTTGAAGAAATCAGAGAAATCATAAAGGCCATCATAATCATGTTTTTATTTTATCTGTCAGTAGCCTACGTATCGTCTCTTTATACCAGACTACCATAAAAATAAACAACTTTTTTTTCAGGAGCTTCCTCTGTTTCTCTGACTGAAAATATAACTGTAGCCTACTGGGAGAGAGTGCTAAAGCTCCTCAGGTCGTATTTTTGGTGGCATATTTGTAGAAATGATCATTTTTTCTAAATGTGATGAAAATATGTCCTGCAACTACCAAATAAACAGAAATAGACGCGACTGAATAAGTAAGTGTGTCCTCTTTCTTTTGTGAAATAAGTTAGACCTAATGCTAACGGTAAACCACTCTATTTCTGTGACTGACTAATGTGCAATTTTGACACAAATTAATTCATTATGACCAATGTATCACTTTTTATTGTAAACCGGTGGTAAAACATCGATGCTTAGGTTTTAAATATTCAAGTAAACAACAAAAATGCCAGCAAATGGTCGCTTTTATAATGTTTGCTTTGCGATCAGGCTGTTTCCAGTGATTCTTACTGATAAGTTTTCTGATAAAACTTCCATTTGTTGGTGAAATTTTGGGTTTGTGTGACGTTGTTCCGGGCGTGTTTTAGTTAAGCGCTGCAGAGCGTCTGGCCTAACAGTGGAAACGCAGCAGATTTTGTGCTACAGGCCCGAGGCTATTAGCCCGGCGCAGCCCGTTTAAAGCCCTGACTCGCACTTATCCGACAATGGAAACGCAGCTAATGAAGCCAATGTAAATCATGGTGAAGGACAAATTCTTACCTTGTATGTTTCGATTTGTTTTTGAGACTCCTGCAGTTGACAAGTCAATTGATTATGATTAATCTCCAATACATTATGCCTTTCCCTTGCCTCACACAGTTCTTGCTGATGTTGTGTATGGAGGAGCAAACTGCTCTCATGTAGTGCATTTAACTGAAAGTAAATGCAAATAAATTAATATGTGAAATGAAAACAAGGAGAAAAAAATAAAACTGCTAAAGGTAATGAAAAATACCTTTTCTGTTAGTTCGGAGTTCATGAGCTTCATAGCATCAAGTTGGCTCTCTAGCTGTTGGATATTGTTCTCTAGAGAAGTGACACTTTTCTGCATGTCCTCTATCTTGGAATACTGCATATGCATCTTCTCCTCCAACTGTGCAATAGTACACTGTAACTCGACCTTGTCCTTTTGCAATTTATCTCGCTCATCCTGAATTGAAGATAGCGCCTGCAGCTCATCTATTTGTGACTGAAGTCGGGCATTTTCTTTGCGAAGCTCCTGCTGCCTGTTTTCAAAGTCTTTCAAGACTGACTGGTTGGTTGAACAAAGCTCTGCCTGACACCTTTCATATTCGAGAACTCTCTGGGCAAACTCTTCGTTTTCAGATTGCAAAGACATCAACTGAGAGGTCAAATCCTGTGTGATCAGTTCTTTCGATTCTACTTCTGTTCGACAGAGTTGAAGTTCCTCCTCCATGGCACCAACTTTAAATTGGAAGTCCGTGATTATTTGTTGCTGATTCACTGTTGCCTCTTCCACAGATTTAAGCTTTTCAGAAGCTGCTTGATTGGACAACTGCAATTCATCAATTAGGCTGTTCTTTTGCTGAAGTTCTTGCTCAAGTTTATACTTCTCCTCCTTGAGATCCTTCAGCTCAGTGACCATCTCTTCGATTTTCTTGGTAAGCTCTTGCGTTTCAGCCTGTATTTCCTCAAGCTCGGCTTTGGCACTCTCTGCTTGAAGAATGGCGTCCTCCAGATTCTCGTCAGAAAGTTCTTTTTCTCTCTCAAGCTTTTCAATGTTGTCCTGAAGAACATCTGTCTTCCTCTGTGCAGCTTTGAGCAGCTGACTCATGTGGTTCTTTTTCCGTTCATCAGATTCAATTCGTACCTTCAGTTTTTCAATGCCCTGTCTCATCTGAGCTACTTCCTCCTGAGTCGAAATCAACCTGGAGGCTATTTCACCTTTCTCCAAGAGGGACGATTCAAGGGACTGGGACAGCCTGACGTTCTCATTCTCAAGTGATTGGATTTTGGAAGACATGTTTTCAGACTCTCTTGAAGCAAAATTCTCATTGTTCTTTAAACTGTTTAATTCACTAAACACATTTTTATTGTCTTCATTCAAAAGAGCCACTGTATTCTCAAGGTTTTGAGACTGTTGAATAAGTTGCTCTTTTTCTTTCCTCAGGATATCAATTTGGTTAGATGCAGCCTCGATTTGTCTTTTCCCTGCTCTAATGTCCTCTTCTAGTTCTTTTATAAGTTCTCGTGTATTGCTCTCTCTCTTCTCCAGAAGCTCAGACTTTTCTTTCCACTTCATTAAGGAGTGAGTTTCACTTTCCCTTACATCAGTACACAAAATAAGCTCTTCTTTAAGTCGCCCACCTTCTGCCATAGTTGTATTAAGTTGTTGTTCAAGGCTGTAATTTGTTCTCCTAGCTGCATCAAGCTCTACTGCTTGCCTTTGTTTCTGTTCTTGTATCTCCTCTATGTCAGCCTCCATGGAAAGGATGTGCTTTTCTAAATTGGCCTTTTCAGAACGTACTCTTTTTAGTTCGCTCTCAATCTGGAAAAATTTCTCATCCCACTCACCTTTTGCCATCTCTAAGCTTTCCATCATCTCCATAACATCTGAGAGCTGGCATTTGGAGGTCTGTAGCTGTAGTTTTAATGAATTGATCTCTTCTATTAACTCTCCAATGTGGTTGCTCAGTTTCTGGTTTTCTTGAGTGACAGACATCAATTTGTCTGTGCTGTTTGTCTTTTCTATTTCCGTTTCACGAACTTTGCCCTCCAAGTCAGAGCACAAATGTTTTCTAATTGCCATTTCAGATTCCAAGACTTCAAACTGGGATTGCAAATGTTGAACCTCCTTTTCGCGTGTCCTTAGAGATTCCTTAAGTGCTTCAAGTTCCACGTGTAATTTTTCACTTTCCTGGCTAATATCTGGAGTGGAGTCTGACTCTTCAGGATAATGGATTATGTTCTTCTGTGCTTTGGAGGTCATTTCCTAATCAAGATGAAAACAAGAAAAAAAGAAAAAGGGAGTTATGAATAAAAATCAAGAGAAATTAAATCAAATAGCTTTTTGATATCAGCAGAGTTTTAAACATATATTTCCCCCAGTAACACTTTGTTTAAATGCAATGATTTAAAGCTGCACTCTGTAATTTTTTAGTTTATGTCATACTGGCAGCCTGAATGTAGAATCACGCAAAAGGAAATTTTCAGTTCACTGATGCAATTGCAAACACGTGCATGTCAAAGTCATGATTAATTTATTTCACAAGTGAAATACACCTTTAAGTCAGCACTTTAACTGATATAATGCATAATATCTGAATTCAAAACATCTGACATTACATTGTGGAATACATAGGTTACCTGCGAAGTTTCAGTAGCCAGCGAGGAGGAGGATGCAAGGTCCAATTCCTGCAGTTGCTGCATAGTCTCCAGTTGTGAGGACAAGTTCTCTGTGTGTTGTTTTTCTTTTTGGAGTTTGGCCTCCAACTCATTTTTTATATTGAGCATTTGCTCCTCCATGCTCTGGAGCTCTTTAGCATGCTGTAATTTGATTTGATCTATTTGAACCCTAGTTTGCTCCTCCATGGTTCTGACATTCTGCTTAAGAACATGAGATATCTCCTCAAGCTCCCTGGATTGATTTTGCATTAGCTCTTTCAGTGGTAACTGTTTGATATCCTCATCTGATGACAAGGATGTTTGGGCCTCTTCTTGTGAATTAAGCTGCTCTCCAGGTGATGAAATACTCTGAACAGCAGTATCTTCTTCAAAGGGCAAAATAGATGTGTTGGCAAATGCCATTTCACGAATATCTTGGTCATTCTCATATGCGGTTGGCTCTTTATTCATTGTGTCTGCATCAGAGTAAGCTTCTGCATCAAGATTCTTCTCAGACAGAAGCTGTTCCATGCGAGTTTGCTGTTCAACCATCTGAGATAGCAGAGAATCATGTGCCTGCTTTAATTTATCCACTTGCTCCTGGGAATTCTGAGCATCTGCTTTCAATCCCTGGATATCAGATTCCAACTTTAGTTTTTGTTCCATAAGATTGTTGTACATTGCTTCAAGGTTTGTCTGCTTGCAATTCTCTTGCTCTAGGGAAACTTTAAGATTTTCATGGGTTACATGGAGAGACTCCAACTCTTTGACTAATGCAGAACTAGATTGTTGTTCCTTTTGGGTTTCCTCCAAACATGCAGATAGCAGGGACACTTCAAGGACACTCTTTTTATAGTCATCTTTGACAGACTCAAGCTCTGCTTGTAGGGTGGACCTCTGAGCCTCACTATCACTTAACTTTGCTTCAAGAACACTGATGTTGCCTTGCAACTCCTCTACCTGTGTTTCATTATCTTCAAGATCCATCTGCAACATTTCAAGCTGTACTTCGATTTTGCTCATGTTAATCTTTTTTTCATTCAATGTCTCTAATGCTTTAGCTTTCTCAGACTGAGCTTCCTGAAGTTTGTTTCTCAAAGATTCAATCTCACAGGATTGTGTGGCTTCTTGGCTTTTCAGAACGGTCAAATCAGCTCTGAGACTTTCTATCTCCTGCTCATGAGGAAATGCATTTTGTTTCAAGTCTTCAAGTTCCTTTGCAACTTTCTGATAGGAATCAGTGTTCTCTTTATGTTGGTCCTTTGATAGGTCAAGATCTTGCTTCAGCTTTTCCTTTTCGAGGGCAGCCTCCTTCAGTTTTTCTGAAGCATTTCTGACCTCCAAACATTTGCTCTGTAACTCTGCCTCAAGAACACTGATGCGCTCCTCTAAACTATTTTGTTTTTTTAAATGAGTTTCCCTTTCAGAGACATACACTTCAGATTCCCTGTTATGTCTCTCAGTGAGCTCCTTGATACTTGTCTCTAATAAAGCTTTTTCTTCAGATCGGTCTAGTAAATTTTTTTCCAGACATAAATTCAGCTCTACGGTAGAGTCAAACTGTTTCTGAAGACTTTCTAGTGAATTCTTTAGTGTGACTGACAAATGATTTGAGGCCTCAAGGTCACTTTGTATTAAAACAATCTTTTCTGCCATTACATCTTTTTCAGCAAGTGCTTCCGTCATTATGGAAAGCTGTTTAAGCTGTTTTTCTTTCTCTTGGCAAACAACATCATTGAGCTTTTGAAGGCTTTCATACTTCTCAGATAGATCTTTTGCCTTATTTTCAAGCTCTTCTTGTTTTACTTTGAGATGTGCATTATCCTGCTCCATGCTTGATGCTTTCCTTCTTTCTTCCTCTATTTCTTTTGCAAGATTTTCAGCTATTGTCTTCTGATTTTCCAACTCAGTGGCGGTCTGAACTTGTAGCTCCTTTACTTTTTCTAAGGAACTTCTGGTTTCTTCTGCTTCAGAAACAAGACAATTAAACTGCTCTTCAAGAGAACAGAAGGACTTATTCTTTTGTAACATTGATTCAACTTCATGAATAAGATCTTTTTCCCTCTTTTCCACCAAAGACACTTTCTCTACTAGATCTTCTTTGACTTTAGAAAGATCATCATATTTTTCCTGAATATCTGCATTTAAATCTTTTTGAGACTTCAGGTCTGATTCTAAGAGGGCAATATTCTCAAGAACATCCTGCAGAGATGTTTCCACATTGAGTTTTTCTTGTTCCAACTCTTTGTTTTGTGCCAGGCGGACTTCACATTCTTTAGCCAACATGTCTTTCTCTTCTTTGAATTTATCTAGCTCCTGCTCTCGCAAGGCAAATGATTCCTGAAGATGCTCAATCTCAGTTCTGTTCATTTCAATAATGGAGTCCTTTGATTTAGCCAGGTCACAAGCAATTTCATATTCTTCAAGGAGCTGACCATGGGCCTGCTCCATTCCTTCCACCTTACTTGTTTCTTGATGCAGTTTAGTTTCAAGCTCGCTCACCTGCTCCTGCATTAGAGTGATTTGTTGCTTCAAATTGTCCATCTCCTTATTATGTTTTTGATGTGTCTCACTAAACTGCTGTTGAAGCTCCTCATACACTCTACCTTTTTCCTCCAGATCCACAGATTTTAGAAGCAGTTCACCTTTGAGTGAATCAATCTGACCAGATAGGCAAATCTTCTCATTTTCTAAATCTTGCATCTTTTTCTGAAAGCCATCATGAGCATCACTGAGTTTGGCCTTGTCTATCTCCAGATCTGCAATTTTACTCAGCATTTCCTCAAGGTTGGATTCGGTGTTGTTAATCAACTGTTCCTTTTCGTTTTTCCACTCCAGAAGAGCTTCATACTCTTTCTTCATCTCAGCAACTTCTTTCTGACAGGAGTTTGAGGTCATTTTGAGGTCTTCATTTTCTTTCTCCACAGCACAAATCTTGTTAACTTTGAGTTCAACTTCATGAACTAGTTTTTGCAACTCAGCCTGAGTCTTCATATTCTTTGCTTCTGTTTCAGCCAGAGTTTTCTTGGCATTTTCCAATTCTTGAGATGATGATGCACTTTGACGTTCCATTTTTTTGCGAAGTTCAGTCAGTTCTTCACTCTGGGTTTGTGTCTTCACTGAAAGTAATGAGTAAAAATGATTAGATAAAGCATTTCTTTAGATTTTCCTTGAATTGTTTTCTAAAATGTTATGTTATATTGAAAATGTACCAATGAGATTTATTACACTTTTAAAACATACTTTTTAAATCATCCACCATCGTACGGCTTTTGGCAAGGTTTTGCTCAATATTTTGTTTTTCCTCTTCAAGTTGTTTGACCCTCTTCATTCCTTGGTCTAACTGACAACTGAGAGTGTTCTTCTCTCTCTGCATCTCCTAAGATAAGCAGAAACAAGCCATTTACATGCTTTTGTACCAAAAACTTTAGTCCACATTCCCCATAAAGTAAAATCTATTATTATTAAATTAAAACAAGCCAACTAATACCTTTTCTTTAACAGATACACAAAGAACTTACATCAAATTTCTTCTTCAACTCTGCCTCCTTCACTTGACTGGCCTGTAACCCCTGCTCAGACCTGAGAAGTTTCTGTTTCAGATCTTCCAAATCTTTCTCCAGTCGATTATTTAGAGCAGTAACCTTTAAAAGCAATGACATTCTGTTGTGATTAACTTAGCCAAATGTGTATAAAGAAATTGAAAAGAAACAAAGTAAAAAAGAAAATATACTGAACAGAAATGTGTTATTCATAACAGTTATAAAATAATATTCATAGTTAAATTGTCTAATTACCTTATCCATATCTGATTGCAAAACATTGTAGTCTTTTTTGGCTTGCTGGATCTCCATACTCGTTTTATTTTTTACCTGGTTAAATTGCTGCTCAAGAGCTTGATGGGAGCTTTGAAGTTGTGCAAGTTCCTGAAATTAGTGAGAAGACAAACATTTGTAAATTTCAGCTCATCCAATATTCAGAAATATATATATATATTTTTAAATTATGTTTGACAGTAAGGAGACAAGACCTTTTGACTCTCTCTCTCCTGGTCTTTGATTTTCTGCTCCAGAGATCTATGCACGCTTTCAGCATTATGTCTCTGACATTTCATCTCCTCTGTTACCTGCTTCAGCTTCATTTCAACTGAAGAACACTGAGACGACAAAATTAACCAAAGATGAACTACTACATTCACAATAGAAATTGAGTCTCTAAACAATGAACCTCCCCAAATATATTAGGACACTTAATGTTTTAATATCTGCATACATTATACAAAACGTATAATCATAATAAAATATAAAGTGGTAATTATTTTAAAGAAACAAGCACACTTTTGAAGCAAAATAGTTAAATTTTGTGCAATGATTTTCTTGAAAGTTTGCTTGTGTTAGCTTTAAAATAAATGTTCCTTGCTATAATTAAATGTATATTTTTTAAATTCTTTTCTGGGGCTCATAAAATTTCTTCATACATTCATCATATATTGTCATATATTATGGGGGCATCATATATTTTTGTCATTATTTTGAGAATGCAAGACACACACAGACACATGCCTATCTTCATAATTCTAGTTTTGACCTCTAAAGGTTTTTTAATTTGACACAAATACAAAATTTAACTTGCAATGCAACAGTGAAAGTCCAAAGTTTCAATCCTGCTCAACACCATTTCTTTATTCATGATTAATATTGTATTGCATATAATCTGTGCTGGTCAATTAGTCTAAAATGAAGAAACCCCTACATAACAGTAAAAAACAAAACAAAACAAAAAACAGGTGTGTACATGTTTATTTTAAATTGGCTACTTAATTTATTATTCCAATATCCAAATATGATATTAAATCCACAGGGAAAAGGGCTTATATTTGTGACGTGCTGTCTTTGCATTTGAACATTAGGCTACACATTATAAACAGGACACGCATTATCTGAATAAACTTTAGCCAATCCAAACATATTTAAAGAAAACAGTTAACAATGAATAGACAGGAGTCCTGTCACATGACCAATAATATAAGTGTTCGAATAAGACGAATCCGACATATGAGGGCTGTTAACAGTAAAGCGTCCGTCATTTAACGAATTTTAAAAACACGAATGGATAATACAAAAAGCTTTGACATTTTGACATAAAAAACACAAGCAAGAACTTTGCCTGTCAATTTTTATTTTATAAATATCTTCTCTCTCTGTCTGCGCGAGTCTGTGTTTGTGAGAGAGCTCGCGCAGCACTGATACATGATATCATACAACGGTAATTTTTAATCCATAAGTATGCCAACTAACTCACTAGTTTTCATACAAAATAATTATGTAACATAATTCGGTACTTTAGTTATCAACATAATAACGTAATACATGCAGGCTACGTTTCTCAACACTGAGAATGAAAAAATAAACGCCTGTTTCTCCAGATTCGCGCTTAACGTTATCAGTCATCCACAAATCGCATCACTTTCATAATCACTAAGACATAGCGATTTCAATTTTATTTAGATTTATTGTTCAACATTACTTGAGCATTTTATAATTTGCATGGCTGAATGACTTCCTCTTATCTGAGTTACCATGAATGAATTACGGAGTATTTTTTAAATAATCCATGCGATCACTCCCGTCCCGTGTGATAACCAATCCATTTTAAATTAACTCAAATACAATATTTCAACTTTCCACATCCACCCAAGCCCGTTTACCTTCAGGAGTCAGAAGTACCGTGACTACTGTCCTCGCTTAAATCAGTCAGACGGCGGGCGCGTGCGAGTGGAGGGTGGATCGAGCGGGATTCTTTATTGGTGTCGATTTTTAGTCTCTTTTTAATTATAGGGCTTACGCATCTGTCAATCATCTCCGCTTGCAATTTGGGGAATGAACCCAGTGCTATGATTGGTCGAACTCTTCTTCTTTTCTGTTGCTTGATTTGAGGACTGCGCGTGCAAAGAGGCGTCACCAGGTTTTTGCGTAGTTTAGAGTGACAAATCGTACCAGCGTACTTTGAGGTCAAAATGCGTGCCCGCTACGCAAAATGCGTACATGTTGGCAGGTCTGGACTACTAAAGGTGTTCCTGCAACGGGAGTATTCTCTGGCCAGAGCGCAGAACAGCGGAGTTTGTATGGACAGAAGTGCATGCCTGAGCTTGTATTTTGGGTTAAGCTGCGTTGCTTTGACATTAATTGAAATGTGTGGTTGTTATTGCTACCGTGTTCTTTATTTAGGCTATTACAGTTCGTTCATTTATTTTTTGTTTTTCTTTATTTAAATTTCGTTTTTCTTTATTTAAATCTACCCTACTTTGTCAGTGAGAAAAATAGTATAAGACTATACCTTATTAAAAATATTGCTTAAGTTAAAAGACTGTGTGTGTGTGTGTGTTTTATATCACTAGTGCAGTGTCCATTCTCGGAGCATATAAGCCCTGCTCGCGTGAGGCGCGCCGCTTCTTTATTTAAATCTACTCTACTTTGTCAGTAATTTGTTAGTGAGAAAAATATTAGACTACCTTATTAAAGCTCCAGTCCGTAACTTTTTTAAGTTAAAAATAATCCAAAATAATTATATTAAAAAAAACGTATTCTGCCAGTGGTCAAAACTATCTGCTTGCCAAAGCTAGATTCAAAACGGTTAGCTTGTAATAATGATTTTAATTCCAGTGGTACTGGTGGGTTTCCGCGGGAAATTCGAGCATGTCTTTGCGTCATGACGTCACACCCGTACACATAAAGAAGGAGTTTCGGCTATACTGCGCGTGACGAGATGTTTAGATGTATAGGCTTTTCTCGCAGCACTTTACATAATTAAACTTATGGCATCCAGAAAGATCCAAACAACAATCATCAGTGTCAACTGGAGATTCAGCAGTTATAAAACCCAAAAGACTTCGTACTTCGGATTTAAGGTGGCTAGAGAAAGAGAAAGAAACCGTCTCATGCAAACACAAGGATTTAAACATCGGCGGGGCTTTTGAAAAGTGCGTGAACTCCGTGTTTTGAAGGGGTTCAAAACGGAAGAAGAGACGGCTTTTTTCTGCTGAACAAGTAAGACATTTCAATAGTTCAATCGTGTAACAGTACGTTTTCTTAATTCACACAGTTATGGAGTTTCCTTTGTTGTGCCTTTCTCGTTTTGCTATTATGGAGAATATGAATTCTGAACTACGCAGGTAACCATAAAACACATTAAATTTAACATTAGTCACGCAATGCTGATGTTGTTAACATGAACAATTTGAGAACAAAGTAGGCTATAATTTGCACGGTTGCTGTAAATCACATTGATTAAATCTAACGAAGCTTATCATGTCGAATGCTTTTTCCCCCTTAGTTGGTCAGAACAAAAATGGATTTTACTTACTTGTTCAGAAGACATTTTCTTATGAAAATTCTTATGTTGGTCAAACTTTCAAAAAGTGAATCTGTGATTCTGTATGACAGTATCCACACAGCGCGGTGACTGACAGCAGCACTCGCCTCAAAGCACTGTGTTCATCCGCGCTGTTTCATGCCGATTTACAACCCACGTAAAGATGATAATTCCGCGAATCACTGCAGTTACAGATTTCGAACAGAGAGATGGCGACAAAGAGGAAAAGCTCCGGACTGCAGCTTTAAAAATATTGCTTAAGTTAACAGACCTGTGTGTGTTTTATATCACTAGTGCAGTGTCCGTTCTCGGAGCATATAAGCTCTGCTCGCGTGAGGCGCGCCGCTTCCCGCTTGCGCTGTTCCTTAGTTTATTAAAAGCTTATTAATTCTGAACGTGTCGCGTCTCGCCTGTCTATCTACAGTATATTGCACCAAATACGACACTGCACTCCTTTGTGAAGTCGTTTGGATAAACGGTTCTCGAAATAATCAAAATGCAAACGGACAGACAGACATATAGAGATTCCGGAGCTTTGAATATTCGATGTTCATTATTACTGAAGCTTCGAAGCTCAAAAAATGGTATTCGGACCAGCCCTAGTATAATGTATTAAACAGATCTACATTACCTTAGAAACTGACTGCTCATACTGGCCTGTAGTCTTTGTGAGTTCATCTCTGGATTTGCTCAGGAGTTTGTCCTTGTCTGCCAGATCTTTCCTGGCCATTTCCAGTTGTGTTTGAATTTCACTGAATTTATTGATCTGATTCTTCATATCCTTCTCTTGAGCCTGAAGACGGAGCTCTAACTCAGAAACCTTTGACCTCAGATCTGATCAGTATAAGAAAGCAAAAAAAAAAACACAGCGAAAAAATGTGTTACCTCAAGGCATATGAAGATTATCACTGACTACGTTTACATGCAGTCAATTTTCGGGTTATGGTCGGGTTAAGGTCACTATTCGGGTTTCTGAAACATTAGGAATAACCCGTTTACATGCGTGAGAAGAGAGAGTTTCTCCTGTATACATGGAATTGCAATATCCCGATGTAAACGGCGACGCACGGTTAGCGTCAAGACGTACGGAGAACCTTAAGACGCAATATGCGTCATTTCCGATTCTTCTTCCTGCCTGTATCCAAAGACAACAACAACAGCAGCAGCACGCGGATAATGAATAGTTCGGGGCAGATAGCGATCGCCTTTGTTTGCGCTTTGGTGCTGGTACTGACCTCGCTCCAAAAGTATGCTGTGCTGCGTCTCGCCATGTTTACTTCCGGTATACTGCACGTAGGTTTCTGTATGCGCCGAGAAGTTCCTCTACTCAAAAGACCAAGATTCCTTGCGAATAGAACATGCGCAGAACACAAATCACAATGGGGATATGCCGATGTGCGTTTACATGACCAAAAATTCGGGTTAGAAAAGGGGTACCCCAGGTATCATATCCCGGTTTTTAAAATCCGGGATATAAGCATATTCGGGTTTTTTCAGGTGTTTACATGGCCGTGCGCGACCGGGTTATTGCTAATATCCCGGTTTTGAACAGGTTATTGGCTGCATGTAAACGTAGTCACTGTAGTGCTATATTCAAAAGCATATTCTCAATAACGTAATAAATTTTTTTTAAATCCATCTTTAAGGTCAGACCAACCTTGATTTATATTCTTAAGCTGTTCCATCTGCTGTGATCCAGCTGTGTCACTTTGAGTGCCTGATGTGAACTGCTGGTGTGGCTTTACTGGTGCTGGTGTGTCATCACAAGACCATGACATCCCAGAGGGTCCGTTTCTTCTCCTAGATGGTGTCTCCATCACAGTCTGAGACTGATGACTGTGTGTTTTTTGGTCTTGCTGCCAAGGGAAAATTGAGGACCCCGTCTGCTGTCTTGCAATGTCTTTATGGCTCACTGCAGACTGGTTCAGAATCTTCAGGAGTTACAAAAGAGAGATGCACTATTACCATTTAGTAAATTAAAGGGTTAGTTCTCCCAAAACTAGAAATTCTGTCATTATTTACTCATCTTCATGTCGTTTCAAAACAGTAAGACTTTTGTTCATCTTCGGAACACACATTAAGAAATGTTTAATAGTCTACGCAACTACCACTTTGACACTTCAAAAGGTTCATAAAGAGACTGTCAAACTAATCCATATGCTTAAAGCGGTTTAGTCCAAATTTTCTGAAGAGACTCAGTTGCTATATATGATGAACAGATTAAATGTAACTTTTATTCACATATAAACATTGATCAGCGACTACAAACAAAAGCTCAACCGAACCTGCTTAATGCGAGAACAAACCTCATTGGTTCTTGTGGAGGCTCAAACATGCTGCGTAACACAGGACAATAAATCCCTTAATAGTTCTTGTGGAGGCTCAAAAGGGATGTGAAACAAGAGTGAACCTCGTTGGTTTTTGCACGTCAAGCAAGCTCAGTTTACTATATCCAATGTGTGCGTTGTTGATTAATGTTTATATGTGAATAAATGCCTAAATTAAATCTGTTAATCATAAAGCGATCATGCGTTTCTCTTCGGAAAATTTGGACTAAACCGCTCAATTCAAATGGATTAGTTTTACAATCAGTTTATGTCATTTTTATAAGCATCAAAGTGGTAGTTGCGCAGACTGTCAAATCTGGGACAATAATCTCCCAGATTTAATTAGAAATATCTTAATTTGTGTTCCCGAAGATGAAAAGGCTTATGGGTTTGGAACAACATGAGGGTGAGCAAATTATACAATTTTCATTTATTATACCATCTAGCTACAAGGCTCTTTTCACCAAAAATGTATGCATTTTACTTACTTTTACATGCATGACTTTGATTTCAGCTTCCAACCTTTTCCGCTCCTCAACCTCTCGATTGTACTTTTCCTGTAGGTCACTTATTTTTGAGTCTGAAGATGCAATATTACAATGTTTAAGTATGATGCATTCATTCTGAATTGCACTTTCATTTTCTATACAATTCATATCTTACCTTGTTGCCAATGATTAGGTGTTGCAGGGGTTGCAAACGTTTTCTGTGGTGTACTAAACTGCTGGATTTCTGAAGAATGTGAAGTTTGAGATCGTTCCAATTCATGCTTATACCTGATTCGTGAATAAAAATAAATAAAATTAAGCCAAGCCCAAGATGAGTCATATTTGGCTAGTTTAGAATGTGTTCTGACACAGAGTTTATGCATATTAGGTTATATAATAATATTATATAAAAGTTAGTTATACATTTAAAAGAAATAATGATATTATATTGATAACTTTGTCACAACTCACAACAAAGTATTAAACACAGTCCACTTACTTTTTGACCTCTTGCTCTAGTCTATCAGTCTGCTTCTTGCACAAGTTTAGTTGCCCCTCCAGATAATTCACCTGTTGCTCCTTCGTTTGGATGTCATGTGCAAGTTTCTGTCTAGTCTTTTCCAGACTTTCACAAGACTCTACCAAAGACTGATTCTCCCTCTTAAGGGCAGACGCTTCACTTTTCTCACTGTCCATCTGTAGGGAAATACAATACACAAATAATGGAGATATTTAAATCTGCTAAAATCGGAGGAAATCTACTCCGATATTTCTTAGGTAACTGACCTTTTGCCTCTGTTTCTGTAAAGTAGCTTCAAGGGAATCCATCTGAAACTGTTTTTGTTGTCTTTCCTTCTTTAACTTGTCAAGCTGCCCTTCAATCTCTTGGATCTTTTGCAAGGCCTTTGCAGGAAGGCCATCCTTCCACTCTTCTACAGCCCAGCTCATACTTACTGAAGATGCTGCTGTGTTGCTCCTCAAAGACAAACTGGCATGCTCTGAACAATGCAATAAGCAACATTGTTTTATAAATCAATGATCAAGATGAAATATTACAGAATTATATGCATAACCTAACACCGAGATAAAACAGGCTACATATTGGCACAATTGATTATATAATAATAATATACATAATTTAACATTAAATTATTAAACACTGTCGGATACAATTTTTTTTCCTCACATGTATTATAAATATTGGCAAATCTTGAATCCACTTCACTTAATGAATGGAGACTACAGGATGGTTTAAAACTTATTTTCATCTTCATCTACTGCAGTCACCAGTCTGATAGAATATCTTACGATGTTGTCAAATTACTGTTCACAAAATAATATTTTGTATTTCACACATGTATTAAATGCTGAAGGATCTAATTAAAATGAGGGATTATATTAGATTTTACATGTCAAAAGTGCTTACAAGTACATACAATTAGTAACGTTATTGTAACAATAACTCGGATCTCATCAGGACATGATGTGTAACCTTTTTAGACTCGATCATATCAAGTGAAATATAGAAAGAGGACCTGCAGGATGAAAACCTAGTTTAATATTACCTAATTTCACTAATATTTTAGGGGCACAGCTGTGAGAACAATAACTTCTTCACCCTATTAGTTTAATTTAAGAATACATATATAGATTGCAATATATTTACCGAAATCTAAATAAGTAGTCAGTTATGATCGGAGGTGGTTTTAGGTTTAGTTAATGTTATATTTTAATAGAACAAAAAATAAAAATGACATATACGTTATGTGTTTAAATCTTATATGTTTTAATGGGAGCCTGGCAGGTAACGTTAACGTAAAGTTGTGAAAGAAATGTTTCATACACGAGTCGGCTAGTATGACACTTTAAAACGGCTTTTAACATTCCACTCTCAACAATGAAGTACTACATTCTACAAAAATATATTATCTTACCAGAAATAAAGAAAGAACCCCTCACGATTACTCTGCAATTACTCTCAAGGTTCTTCTCTTGTGTTCTTCTTCAGTTACTAAAGTGGAAAATTCAAAAAAAAGGTTCAAAATTGTTGGCGACCGAATGCAGCGTCGTCATTGGCGCGTTTGGCATAAGACGTAAGAACATATTGGCCTCTGATTGGACATCCCTGTCCATTCGAATTTAACTCCGCCCACTCTTTTTTTTATTTTTTTTTTATAATATATTTTGTTTATTTCAGAATTTAAATGAATAGCCGGGTGAACCAGTAAACTCTCATCCAAAAGTTCAACCGACGACTTGCAGAAAATAACACTTTTAAAAACACCTGAACACAAATAAAGACTTCAAAGAAATGCAACTTATATATTCATATTAAAAGAAAACTTTAATCATGTTTGTCTGTATATAATTAGTGACATCTGAAACTGGACTTGAGCAAACCTGATAACCATCATAGTCAATACACCACATATGCTTTGTGTTTATGTGTAATGATTTCTAATCCCTTGCTGCTATACACTTCCGAATGGTTACTCTTCTGTTCCTGTTTGTCTTCCTGAATGCAGTGCTCTGTAGAGATGAATGGCACCATACTGCTTCCAAAGGGCTCTGCCAAACACGTGCTCTGGGTCATAGCAGATGGTATGAGAGCCATATATGGATTTCATCACCATGGTTACTGCCAGGGATGCAACACAGCTTATGAAAAGACTTATGACAAAAACAATAGCAGATGATGATGATTATAAGTCGCTGAATGTATTTAGTGATACAATTCAGAGATAAATGTGTTATTTTGATATGGTTGCACATCTTAAATAGTTTGTATTCCACAAAAAAAAGTAATCCATAAAGTCAGTGTTTGTCATTAGGAATTTATTACTTTAGTGTTGTCACATTAAATTTAATGTATTTTGCATGTGGCAGTCTGCATCTTTTTTCTTTCCCCATACTACCTGTCAAAATAGCACAATACTAAACAAACAAGAAACATTTAACAAATAAGCAACAATGATAGTAACACTATGAAATGCACTGATTGATTGGAAGTCCAATATCTTAACAGTATCCATGATATATTTTAATCAGTGCAAAAACAATAACCATGCAAACAGACAAGTAAAACAGAATCAGAGTCTTTCGCCTTATTGAGAATATATAAATGATTTACATTCGTTAGCTATTGAAAAAATGTATATTGTGTTGCTACATGAGGGGGCAAAATGTTTTTAAAAACCTGGCATATATGATATGATTCTTAATTCTTAGCCCTTCTTCTCAGAAAACAGTATAGCACATTTGTTCAAAGTGCAGACAATACAAGCAACAAAGTATCTCAGACTCAGGCCATCTATTTACAAAACACAAAATTCATTTAAATGACATCTCAGATAAACAGATCATTTTGACATCACTTTGTTTTTATATTCCCAGGAGAGGTATAAGACACATGCCAGTGTTTGATGCATATTCCTCCACGTGTTCCCATTATTTCTGTTCTTCTATTTCCTTTTTAATCTCAGCGATGTACGGGTGGTCCTTACCATGGGCAATGTCCATGATTGCAAGAGCCTGTGATAAATTCAGCCACAACAATTTATAAGCCTAGATGGGTCCAAAAATATTTAGTTTTTTTTTGCTTTTAGATTTCAAAAGGACGCCCACATCTAATATTACATTATTATTACATTAGCACTGCTAACACCTTACCTTCTTTAAAGCTTTAACTCCTTGTGTACTCCTCTCAAGTCCTAGGTATAATCTTCCAAGTTTCAGGTACATAGAAGCCACATTCAGTGAGTAAGGAGGGTAGTGCACACTAGAAAGATATGTGCATTGGACACTATTAGTAAAGTGGATACACTAAATTCTTACAGTGTAATTTTAAATTAAAATAAGTTAGAAAGACAGGAAACACACTGGACCCAGCATTACCTGTAGGGCTGGACAATTTTCTCGCCATATTTCATTGCTCCGTCCCAATCCTGCATATAGAGACAGACACCCATTGCCTGATACATCATATGCAGCATGTACACATTGGTTTCGGCAAAGATTGAACCCATTTTCTCCAGGCTTAGTTCACAGATTTCCAGCAGCTCACTGGGGGGTACTTAGCGGTCAAGGAACTTTTAGTCAAAACCATAACTTCAGGATATATAGACTACCGTTCAAAAGTTCTTTTTTTACAAATTTCATTTATTCCAGTGATGGCAAAGCTGAATTTTCAGCATCATTACTCCAGTCTTCAGTGTCACATGATCCTTCTGAAATCATTCTAATATTATTTGGTGCTAAAAAAACATAACTTATTATCATTGTTGAAAACAGTTTGTAGATTTTTAGAAACTATATAATGTTTATGCATATCTTCTGAATAAAAGCAACAACAAAACTTTTCAATAGTAGTGTATATTGTCTGACAAAGAGAGCTTGGTTTGAATTGCTCAGTCTATATTTTCCTCAGACTTTTGTGACTTTTTCAGCAATTGTGTTTTTAAAAAAACACTAGTGTATGTTTTGTGACACAATGTATCCCAAAGGTTAGTATGGCTTCAAGTGTGGAGACTAAATATATCCCAGTGCCTCTGTTTACATCCCAGACCCCATTGCTCTATCTTCAAAATATTGCCTGATATCACAGACAAAACTATAAAGATTAAAAAAAAGAAAAGGCCAATGAAGGATATTTTTGTAGTGCTTTGCTCTCCTGAACTCCTCAATGACATTTCTGGCATACATGACCATCTGTGTGATTTCCTCATCCTCTGGAGGTGTGCTAAGCTTCTGACGGATCTCCATTTTGGCTTTGTCCTAAATAAAAAAGGAGGTGTTATTCCACATATATCCACTTGAGTTTCCTTAGTGTTAATTTTTATTCATACTGTTATTACATATAAAAAGATGGGTCTCGGTTCACTTCCAAACGAACTCTGGTGCATTTCGACAGAAATATGAACGCAACAAGGACCAAAGACATAAACGAACCAAAACATGACGTGATGTCACCAGATGCGACCCTAAAAAGGACAGAATGCTGAAGCATACCTGATTTTTTCCTCGTCATAGGAGCCATAACAGTTCGGTACAGGCGTCAGAAACGCCTTCTCCTTCGATCTTCGTTTGTGTGCAACAGAGGAATTCCTGACGTGTGTTTTGACTCCTTTACACATTTTATAAACTCTAGATCACGAGTTCTCAGCTGGACAAAATGCCATCATATGTACACACATATAACGAGCACATTTAGCCCAGCACACAACATTGTTTTGGATATTCGGTAAGTTCAGTCGCAAAATACGTTTTTTTTTATCTTTAGGCTCGGCCATAAAAATGACAGTGTGAACGTTAAGCAAACCAGGACTAAATGTATTATTATCTTTTTTTGGGTTGGACCAAAAGAACTGAACTAAAAGTGTGAACGCACCTGTATATGAAAAGTCGTTTATTACAGGGTTAAAATGACACTCACCTTTGATTTAGAGGTGCATTCTTTACAGTCACAGGTGAAGAAGTAAGAATCTTTCAACCGTTCAATTCTATCCTCTGTTGGATACAGGAGGTCAATGTAACTGTTGAAGATCTATCCCAGAGAAACAAAGAGGACCGTCACACAATATACAACAATTAAATTAGTAATGAGATGAGTATGCAATGCTATAATAGATGTCAGAATCAGTGTTGGGCATGTTACTTAAAAAAAGTAATTAGTTATAGTTACTAGTTACTTCTCACAAATAGTAACCGAGTTAGTAACTGAGTTACATCATTATAAAAGTAACTAATTACCAGAGAAAGTAACTAGTGTGTTACTTTTTAAAAAAATGTTCAAATAGGCCTATGTCAAATAACTTGGATGCCCCCAGTATTAAATATGTTAAATGAATGAAATGGACACTTAATAGAATAAATTATTATTATAAAACATTGAACACTAATCTACACTATTTTAATGTTGCTGTGGGACAATGTGAGAGACACCTATTAAATTCAATATATTATCATTACTATAGTAGAACAATAAAACATAATAGATGGTTTATACTTAATATCGCACAGACCACAACTGGCTAACAAATAAATTTAAAAATAAATGATGCTACTTAAGAAATGTACCAAAAATGAATAAATAATAATAAAAAATATACATACTCTTTGTAGTGCATATTAAAATGCTAAAACTGTTACACAACTTCACAACTAGTAGACATACTGTAGCCTAAGTATTTTCTTCCTCACAAAAGTAAACTGTTTAACAAGAAGTGCTCTCTCAATATAATACTGCACAATTTACCAAAAAATAAAATAAATATAATATTTTTGGGGTTTATTTTTATAACCTACGGAGAACGTCATCATCAGAGGTTATTTAAGCCAAATTCTAGGCATGTTTGCCGCACGTGTTTACAACCGGTCAAACAAAGATGTTTTCTGGGAATGTTCCCTGCAGGTTATTTTGTGGTTTTATTTTATAACCTAAAGAGAACGTTGCCAGAACGTTCCCTGTAATTTTTAGGTTTTATTTTCATAACCTTCCCAGAACGTTCCCTGCAGGTTATTTTTTAGATTTTATTTGTATAACCATGTAAATTAATTAAAACGTTGCAGATGATACCAATAGGCTATAGAGATTGTTCTAATGCTGAAATTTGTCATTTATTTATAAACAAACTATATAATGCTCGGACACCCTCGGTCTCCCTTGCGCAACTGTTGAGCGCGCTCTCGGACACACTCGGTCTCTCGCGCATTGTTGCAGTGTTGAGCGCACTCACGGCGTTCGCTTCGCTTTGGTCCACTCCGGCGCCTCAAACACACACACACACACACACACACACACACACACACACGAGAAAAAACTTTGCAGGTCCTATGGCGGAGAGAGAGCCTACTCGGATGAAAACCGCTTCAGTGAGTTCAATTATAGTAACGCCCAATTTATTTTGTCAGTAACGATAACTGCGTTGTAACGGGGGAAACAGTAATTCGTTTGATTACTCGTTACTGAAAAAGATAACGCCGTTAGTAACGCCGTTTATTTATAACGCCGTTATTCCCAT